TCAGACCTGCGCCTTCCCTTGTCAGATGTCGCTCCTGCCTCCTCGGACGCGTCGCAGAGGCATTCTTTCCTTTTCCAATAACAAATGCGCACTCACCCCACAGTCTCCAGGACACCCACGCACGTTCTCATGATAGCCCTTGGCCCGCCATATCCAGCTGCCGCAACGACAAAAAGTATCATGAACATGGCGAGGGACATTATGCTACCATGGCGCTCTGTCCAATCAGCGTTCTGCCCTGGGCGGTACCTTGCAGGCGTCGGGAGGGGCTGACCCATCCCTGCATCCTCTGTGTAGCCTCCATCGACTTGCTTTTGTCGTCTTGCCGCGACCCAACGTCAGGTTTGCCTCTGCACCTGTCAGCTCTGCAGCTGCTACAAAATATACTATCCAATCGCCAGCCTCATACATGGGTAGCCAAAAGTATGCGGGGAGGCGACCCAGAAGTACCAAACGCCCATCGCGTACCTGAAGCCGCTAACCTCGGGACGCACAATGAAGCGAGCGAATCACCCAGCCTCCTAGTCATGGTCCCGGTGGCCTTTTCTCACTTTCCCCTGGCCTAACCGCCTGCTGCTGTCATACCTCCCCTTTCCAAGTACTACCATCAGTGCAGAACCATGCTCGAGCATTCCTCCTGATCGACTCTCGAGCGAAACAACTCAATTGGTCTTCTGTTATCGCGATACCGGGCCCGGCCAGATTTGTATCCGTACACCTGGTCCAACTGTCGTGTCATCTCCCGTGTGGCCGTCTTTCTACCGTCAGCCCGCCCCTGTCTGCGGTTCCGAACGGGCATGCCTCCCCTTCTGCTCGGAACGTTGAAGGCTGATTGCCTAATATGAACGTCGGCGTTTTCTTCACGTGCAAGCTGCACTACTGCATGTGCCATGCGGCCCATATGCCGGCATGGCTGATTCTTCCATTCTCAACCAATGGTTTACTTGATTTGGCTGTGATTTAGCAACTGCTGAGCTTACTGCAGATAAGCGCGTCCTCTTTCTGCATGTACAATACCTATGGTCCGTCTGAGATGTTCTATATATTATTAACTTTTCTTCAAGTTTCAACTTGTATACCGAAATGAATAGCCCGGGCTGGACCTAATCCATTGCATCGGTGCCACGAGGTGAGCAAATTGCCCCTCATCCGCCGCCTGCCGTTATACGCTGACGATGATCATCTCCAGGCCGTCCGCGAAATTACTGTAGGATCGGCGCTACACCAGCCCTGTGAGACACCCACACCCCATTTGCTGCCACCACCCCGTAACACGCGACAACGACGCGTCTAGTATATTGGAAGCCATGTTGACAATCCCACACGCGATGGTACTTTTGGCAACTATCTGACCGGGTTTCAGATCTAGCTCACGCCGCCTTACCAGACGACCCCACGATTGTTTCATACTCCCGTACACCATGTCCAGCGAACGCCTCAATGCGGTCCGAACAGCTTCATAGGCTCCCTCAAACATGGTCACCCAAGCATCATCGCTGCAAGCCAGCATCACCGTTATTTTTGACAGCGGGTCTGGCTTACCAGGCTCTGGACTATCAAACGTAACAATACAGGTCACGCTCGCAAAGAAGCTGAGACCCTACTCCACTCGCTCGTTCTCACTATTACATCTGTCTACAAATTCTGTCCTGAGTGGTCATCAGGACGATTTAGTATGTCACTATCAGGACATCAGGACCTACAAGATGAGCTGTGAGTGTCATTGGCGCCGTCAACGTCACTACCGCTCCAGTCACTAAGTATCATCTCCCTGCCAAGAAGAGAAACGAAAATAAAATTGCAGATTCTGTTCTAAAGTTGCGGTAGCATCTCGCGATCGATCCGTCAGGAAATCAAAATTTTGTCATAATTACAAGGGCCGAGATGACAAACCTAGATAATTTCCGTTGATCTTCCCGGACAACGTGTTTGGTGAGCAGGGTCGTGCCGTGTCAGTGCGGGGATCTTAATTGTTCCCAATCTAAGTAACGCGCTTTAGTATGTAATAGTGGTAAGTCTCGACCGACAAAAACCCGACTCTGAACCTAGCAATAGTGTCTCGTTGTATCCGGGGTATGGTAGTGTCGACTTTTGGGCGTCCGGTTTTGCTTTCGTCTTAATCTGCTTTGTCGTCATGCTATGCTCTATACACTTGTGATGTTGTCTCTTTTAGGTTTGGAGGGCGCTTCGACTGCGTCGAAGAATGTCTTAGCTATCAGCGATGTTTGAAGATTTGTTAAGTGAAAACATGTGTATGTGGCGATTGATCTTCCATTCAGTCAGAAAGAGCTGGATAACTGTGATCTAAGTCGACGTTTACCTGAATACAGGAAGAAAAATGATGATATGGTTTAGGTTGACGTCTTTCATCCTCCGTTTCTCTAGGGCCGCGAGTGGAGCAGAGAAAAGCGTGTCTTGGAATCACTATCACGGAATTTCAGTTAACATCTTTCTCCCTCTGCTCTGTACAGCCGTGTCACTACGTCGTCTCGCTATCACTTTCACTCTCACCCACCCAGTTTTGGGCCCACTAAGTGGCCTCCAAACGCACGCTCGTCAAGAGTGCTGCTCGCGAGTCTACTCTATACCTTATTTTCCCTGTTCCTATCTCAACTCACGATTGGCTTATGGTCTACCAAGATGCGACCAAATCTCCTACAGTTTGTAGCGCTCGCAAGTGCAGGTGTGATCAAGCATAAGCCGGGTCCCAATGACATTTTCTCCTGTGTATTCTCCTTCCCACTTTTGAAAACGGTACAAGGGCGGCCAGTTGGGCTCAGTATCTCGATGAGACTCAGGCCTATCTTGGTCAAAACGGTCAAGGCGCGACTGATATGTTTGCTGGTCCTGCCGGAAGAGCTCCAGTGAGATGGCCGCGTAACTCGGACAACAAGGCCGTCATCCCGTACTGCTATCAAATGGAGGAAGTTCGCAAAGCCGCCCTGCCGATCGTATCCGATGGTATAAGAACGTGGATGTCGTAAGTATATGCCAACTAGGTCAAAGATGTACTGGTTGACCAACAGGCCCCTAGCTATCTTGGCCCTGCTGGCAAAGAAACAGGTCACGCCATCAGTTTCGAGGAGCAGTTGAACAGCGAGGGGAAGCCGATTTATTGTACGCCAGACAGTAAAGCCCCCGACGACTGGAACTCAGCTCTGCCTCATGCAACATTGGCTATCTATTAGGGTGGAGACGAGATGGGATGGAGTGCTAGTGTAGGTCTACAACCTAACCAGGAGACACCTTGGGTAAATCAGCTTCACATCGGAGACGGCGAATGTCTCCATTGCGTTCTGCAGTGAGTATCGCTATGGAAGCTCAACACAAGACATACACTGACTTCCTACCCTCACATTAAGCGAGCTCGGTCATGTCATGGGTAAGAGGAGCCATCTCGTAGTAAGTTGCGACAGTTGTATTGACAGAAGCCAGGTATGGTACATGAACACCAGCGTAGCGATCGAGATACTTATATAAAGGTCCAATACGAGAACATCAACGATTTCGAAGAGGTAAGCAGAATTCTCTCTATACGTGCAAATATGAACAATCCTTGATGATCTGACGCAGTGCTGGGAACGCGCCAAGGTTAAGGGCGACCCTAAAGTCACCCGATCCAACATCTGCGATAATATGAGATATGCACTCAAGTATGATTGCTTGTGCGGCCATTTCGTCAAAGGCATTACCGGAAATCTCCTTCCCCTCTTTACGCTTGACGTTTACGATATTGATAGCGTCATGCACTACCCAAGTTCTTCTGGAGCAACAACAGAATGTCCCAACTATGGGTCTGAAGAATTCTCGAATCGTTGTCCCATCCAGGTCTACATAGACTACGAGGATCATAGCAAAGGATTAACGATGCTGGTACCAAACCTAAGGCCGTCTGACCAGGATATAAAATGGGTCAAGCATGTCTACCCTTATAATGTGGAGACTTAAGTTAGCTTTAAGAAGAAGAGATGTTGGTTGCTATGAGATGCGTCGAGACGTGTAGTGATGATACGAAAGTGTTAAATCGAAGTGAATAATGGATGATGGGGAGCTTCAGACTCGTCCAAGAACAAAACAAAGTCTAATACCACTCAAATCTAGTCGACGTACATATATGTACGAAAATTGGATTGTTAGCCTTCACTCGAGTCTATACCGAAGAAAGACTGACCATTCGAGCGTTACCAGATCTCCGAGAGTAGTCGCGGTTGATTACCTGCGATCGCAATTATGGATGTCCTATCGAATTCGACACGCCTGCGAGATGCTAGGTAGAGTGGAAGAAAGTCACAACCATACAGTTTTTGGGTGGCGACAAAGCGCCGTTATATACTGTCTCATCTCAAAGCCAAATCGAAAACTACCTAGGTACAAGAAATCGTGCAGTCTGCCTGGACCGTTACGTTCACCTAGAGTAACCAGTGCGTCACCCATCTACTATGCAATTGACCTAAACGATGCGCGCCTCTCGGTAATGCTAATTCATCTCACTATCAGATCTTCACTTCCGAGATACGTCATCCAACTTCCCAACGACCTTTTTAACTTCCAGGGCTGTGCTCAACAAAACGCAAGCTATGCAGCTACCCGCTGCAGGTCAGCCTCAACTGCATAACGAACCGCGTGAGACGGTTAACAGTGGGGTACCTTATCTGATGTAACCGAACTTGCTCAACAATATCCAACTTCCCTCTGCGCGAGCGAGCGGGGTTTTGTTGAGCTTATCTCGTTCTCCTCTGGCCGAGTAGATAACAATCGGAAACTGTGCAGACGGAAAAGACTGACGAGTAACACCTACGACGATCACGCAGCGCAGTAAAGTAACGTTGTTTTGAACATGTTTTTTGCATTACAATACATAAATCTTCGCGAGTCATGGACACATCTAAACCATGCGCCTGAGACCCAAACATGCAAGAGAACGGTATTGCTTCTCTTGCCCAACTATACTACTACGCCTCTATCGTTATGAACATGAATACCTCACCGCTGGTCTATATTTAACATTGCGCAATCGCGACTGAAACAGCCTGGTCGTCAGAGTGGCTGATGCTAATGTTGATGCTCTTGACACCAACGCGGTTGGCTTCTTCTTGAGCCTGACCATAGAGCTGTGTAAATGTTAGTATATAATTCTTAGATTGCGTATTGGAGTGCACATACCTGTACGGTTGGAACACCAGACTCGTCGTTGACGATCTCAATATCCTTCAGCGGAGCACCGGCGCCTTGCCCCTTGACACCTAGGGACTTGAAGACAGCCTCCTTGGCTGACCACTTTCCAGTGAAGCTTGCCTGAGGGTTTGGTGCCTTCTGGCAGTATGCAATCTCCTTCTCCGTAAAGTTGCGCTCGATGAAGGTCTCGTTCTCAATGTTCAGCGCACTGAGACTCTCAACATCGACACCAACTTTGCTGTTGGAGGAAGCAGTGGCCTTGGTGAGCTGTTCAACCATGTTCATTGTCTCCTGCGCCTTCTTGTCTTTCTTGGTAGCAGGGGTCTTTGCATAGCTGTATGTAGAGGTCTTCTTGTCCATGGTGACACGCGCTTGCGGGTTAAGGAAGACCTCTTGCATCTTCTCATCCTCATATGGTGCCTTGTCCTTGGCGCGGAACATGGTGTTGTTGATAAGACCGTCGTGGAAGTATCGGTAGGCCTTCTTTTGGCGAGCCTCAACCTTCTGCTTATAGGCGGCGAACTGGTGATGCTCAAGCGCGGCGAAGAGGTACCTGGGATGAATACCAATAGCTTGACTTCCCTTCTGTCCGAAACCGAATGAAGTGACGGAGAATGCCTTTACACCATCAGTCTGAATGGATTGGGATGGGTAAACAATGTAGTCAAACTGCTCCATGTTCTTGTCGATGTTGTCGGCATTGGGGTTGCCAGGTACAAGACCGGAATTGAGCACCTGCAAGCAGCCGTTGAACATCCAAGCACCGGCAGCACCCTTGGGGTGGCCAGTGAGATGCTTCTGCCAAATACTCAGCAGCGCATTGCCCTTCTTACGACCAAGATGACGCATTTGGTGGTTGATGACATCGGATTCGTTCTTGTCGTTTGCCATGGTAGAAGTACCGTGGAAAGAAGCGACATCGAGATCGTCGATAGTAAGACCCCAAGTAGCAAGGGCACCACGAAGAGGAGCGATGCGTGAATCCTGTTTCCAGAAGTTGTTGCCCAGGCTGTTTAGCGCATCCTTTTCTTGTCGCTTAGCTTCCATTTCGATGTTGGAAGCACGCTCCTCAAGATAAGCAGCCTCGTCGAAGTCCTCGCCAGTGGCGTCCTTCATCGCTGCAACTTCCTCCTGGAGGTACAGGATTTCTGACTCTTGCCACTGCTTGATCTGTTTGCGTCGGAGATCCATCTGTCGTCTCCTGTACTTGATGTCAAGGAGTGGGGATGGGAACTTGGACGGGGTCTCTCGCGCGGTAGTCAGCACGCCCTTGCCTGGAGCAGGAACGGAACGACCAATCTTGTCAGTCGCTGTGGCAGTGAAACCAAGGATACCGTAGATGGGGACTCCCATGTCGAGAGCCAGCTTGGCGTCCATGATAACTTGCATACCACAACCTTGCGACTCCATGAAGCCATTTCTGGTTGTTGTGGCAGGGCGCGACATCTCCTTGGGTGTACGTCCGTGAGCAAACTCGTCCTCAGCGTTGCTAGTAGCCTTCATGTTGGCGAATTCATATGAACCTTCCTCCTGGAAGTCATCGAAACCACCAACAAAGCAGACACGGGCCTTTCCTTCGACAATGGTATCGTAACCAATGTCCAAAGACTCAACAGCAGTGGCACAAGCACCGACGGGAGTCTTGATAGGTCCGGTAGATGAAAGGAGCAACATATTGACCCAGGCGCTCATGGTGTTGATAAAAGACTCCTGCAGGATATCTTTCTGGACTGGCTTGTCCATGAAGCGGTCTTTGTACATTCCACGAAGGGCGGTAGTACCACCAATACCGGAACCGACGCAGTTACCGACCTGAGAAATGTGGACATACTTGTAAAACTCGTAGGGATCAGTGATACCACTGGCAAGCAGACACTCCGCAGTAGAGACGAGTACAAAGAGTGTTACCGGGTCGACCTGAGAGATGATATCATCGGGCACACCGTACTTCTTGGCGTCCCAGCCAGTAGGGACTTGGCCAGCAACGAGACGATCGAAGCGCAGAGCTTTGGGAAGGAGGAGTGTAGCACCCTTCTTCATACGAACAGTGTACTCGGCAGAGCCCTCGATCGCGAAGATCTCGACCTTGTCGCCATGCTCCAGCTTGAACTCCTCGGCAGTCTCCTTGGAAGCCTCGAATGGATCGAGGTCCTCCTCGATCTGGATCTCCTGCATGAGTTGCTTCTTCTTGGGATCGTAACCGTTGAAGAGTTCGGGCTCGATGAGACGAATACCAGCGTGCTCAAGGATATACTTCTCGTACTTGGGCTTGACATCCTTGTCGTCAATCGGCTCGTTAGTCTTGGCATCGACCCATCCGGAGTAGCTCTTTCCTTTGAGTGGACCGTTGTGGTTTTTGATGAGGCCCATGATCCATGCCATCTCAACACATCCCTCAAGGGAGAACTCGCCATATGCTTCCATCTCCCAGCGTGTCCTGGAGTTACCCCAGGGTCCAACCTCAGCAAAACCAGTGACGACGACGACCTTCTCAAGATCAACCATACCCTTCAGGTTGTCGTTGAGAGGCTTGACCTCAGTATCCCAGTCGGGTAGCTTAGGGAAGTTGAACTTCATGTTTGCTCGGGGTTCGACCGTGGCCTTCTTGTACAGGGCTTCGCTGGCCTCGCCGTTGACAACCTTGTTCTCAATGGCATTCTCCTTGATAACAGCTCTGCGGATATCACTCGTCTCAGTGAGTTCCTTGCGCAGATCGGTCATGAGGTCTTTCAGGTTGGGGATGTACTGGAAGCCACCGTTGAGATCTGCCCACACAGGCTCGACCTGGCAGAGGTCGACAATCGGTGGTGCCATAAGACCAAGCAAATTGAAGGCCATCTCTTGCTGGGAGAAAGTACGCACACCGTACTTCTCAATGCCCTCAGCAACAATGTTGTTGGCACCCATCAGACCAGTACCACGAGTCCAACCAATAACAGCACCGCAGATGGTGAGGTAGTTACCCCAGCTCTCCGAGTGCCACCTTGAGAAGAGAGTCTCGAGTGACATCTTAGACTCCGAGTAGAGACCATCGTTACCAAAGGTTCCGTGGTTAGGGGACAATGGCAGGATGACTTGTGCTGGGCGGGTCTCGTAACCGTAAGTCTGCTTTTGTTTCTTGACAGCTCCAAGCATGCGCAGAAGGTTGGTCAACATGATACGGTGAGCAAGCTCCGACTTGGAGTCGATGCTGTCAATCTCGCGACCGTTCTCCGGAATGGCGGCAAAGGGAACGATGAGATCGAGATCCCAACCAAGACCCTTCTTGGTGTCGAAGATGTAGTCAACTAGAGCCTCAACATCCTGGTTGCTACCCTGATTGAAGGGTACAACAATGAGTTGAGAGCCCCGAGCACCGTACCGCGAGTACATGGATTGGTAGTACTCGGTGACTTCGCGGGAGAACCTGGAAGTTGTGACAACGACCTTGGCACCACCGCTGATAAGACCTTGAAGGACTTGCGCGCCGATGGAGCCAGCACCAGCGCCCGTCATAAGAGCATACTTGCCCTGGAAAGTGACACCGGACTTAGCAGCCTCCTCCAAGCAGTCTAGGTAGACGCCAGTGAGCTTCTTGCTGTACTCCCAGCCATGGTCGTCCTTCCTCTTCAGATGCAAGAAAGGAATCGTCTCAACCTTGCCTTGCTTGGCAGAGGCATTGACGCGACCATTACGGCCCCTCTTGCCTCCAATAGCCTTGACGTTGTCGTGGGGCATGATCTGACCCTCGTTCATTGACAATGAACGAATGACGTTGCTGTAGAGGCTCTTGATTTGGAGTTGTGATGACTTGGAAAGCTTGTGTTGCTGCTTGATGAGCTTGTAAATTCTTTGCAGGTCATTCTGAACCTTGGTGCGGTTGCCGTACTCGGACAGCTTTCCACCCTCAGCCATCTCGCGCACGTAGTGCTCAAGCTTGCGAACGCTCGCTCTTGGGGCTTCCTCGTAGTTCATGTTGCCCTTGGCATCAATCTCCAGGTGTGGCGCGGTGGGTACTGCGACATCTTTGTAGACTGGAGCCTCGTTCAGAACCTCCTTGCAGTTGTCGATAAGCTGTTGACCAAGCTCTTTTGCAAGCTCGTATGTCTCACCGCGCTCAGTAGGGCAGTGGTCCATGTGGTATTGCATGAAGTCGAGAAGGAGAGGGTTTGAGCGATTCATGATGGCGATGCAACGGCTGACAATCTCACGATCGACCGCCTTAAGCTTGCCGAAGATGATGTCGTAGTACATGGTGAGAGCATCTTGACGTGCCCAGTTCCATGATGAGTCGTAGACACGAGCCTTGAGTGGTGTGAATTGAGGCTCGATACCGGAGGCGTAGAACTCGCCGTGCTCGGTGGTCCAGAGATCAAGCTGAGCTTGGAGCGTAGACTGCGCCTTTTGCGAGTCGACGAAGGACTTGTCACCCGCACGAAGATCGATCTTGAGGTATCGTGCGAAAAGCTCAAGCTGCTGCTTGAAGAGTGCGCGTTGGTCCTTGGTAAGCGCGTCAATGGCCGCAGGGTCCATCATCATGCCACCACCCGAACCACCAGCGTCGCCACCGGCTGTAGGGGCAGACAAACTGATTCCGGCAATGCCTGCGTACTTGTTTGCCTGCTCGTCCAAGAAAGCCTTGCCGTCGGCTTCTGAGCCGAGACGTGCAGCTGGCTCGTTGGTGATGGCGAGCAGCAAAACTCCGTCTTGTCGTCCCTGCGCCAGTCCCCATCTTGTCTCGAGGTGCTTTCGCACAGCTGTGATGTTGAAGCCACCAGGCATCTTGGCTGACACCATGCGGGCAATGAGAGAAGAAGACTGCTTTCCAAGCTGACCGTTGAATGTAGCCTGCATCGCAGCACCGAGCTCGTCGAGAGGGGTATCTTCGGGCTTTTCGGGAGTTGAGCCAAACTCCTTGCCCAGGTCTCCGAGAATCTCGTTTTGTAGGGTAGACTTGCCTGGAAAGTTGTTAACTACGGTTTTTGCTGTTTCTATGCAACTGACTTACCTCCGACTAAATCCTTGATGGCCTTGCTCAGCGGGATGTCCACGAGCGGTTTCTTGAGCTTCTGGGCCACCAGTGTCCGGACAATGTCCGTGGCTGTGACTGGCGCATCTGGCACCTGGGCTGCAGGTCCAGCACTTGGTGGAGGTGGTGCTGCAGCAGCAGCGGGCGCTGAAGCGGAGGGTGCAGAGGCGGGCGCTGATGAAGCACCCCCGCTGCTCGCCGCTGGAGCCTCTGGTTCCTCCTCTATTGGGTCTACATCGTAGTAGATGTCTTTGGCGTCCTTGTTGTAGCACAGAATTTGACGCTGCAGCGACCGCGCCGCATCGTGTCCTTCGTATTTGCTGGCGAGTGTGCGCTTCGCCATGACACCGAGCGTGTCTGCGGGGCCGATTTCGACGATGCGCTCCGTCGTCTTCTCGCCGAGGACGACATCCTGCGTCTCAATCCACCTCACGGGCGAGGCAAATTGGTATGCGAGCAGCTCAATGAGCAGCGTGTGCGAGAGCTCCTGCTCGACCTCGGGACGCATGATGAGGTAACGGAGAGAGCAATTGGCGGAAAGGAAGGTGGGTTGAGGCTCGACGGAGCTCAATGGGTATCTCTATTACAAAATAGAAGAAGGGTATCGTGGGTCTAAGGAGGGAGGAAGTGCCAGGAAGAAGACGCGCTATTAGGTGGGTGGGTAGTGTATAGTGCGGTGAGAGCACTCGAGCGATTCAAGGGTCCGGGAGGGGTGCGTTGTCTCCCCCGCGAACGCCTTGGTTTTTTTTCTCGAGGGAAGTGGAGTGAGTGGTCAACGGGAGTTGCAGGAAGAAGAGACGCAACGCATTGGCTGTTTATCTCTTGTTGGACAGGACAACGGCTTGCGGTGATATGGCAGGGCGTTGAGGAATTCTCCCGCCGCGGGTTGGCGGTACTAAAATTCCAGACCCCTGCGACTGCAGCTCGTTACTGCTTTGGCCGGTGCTCAACGAACTAATCTCGCCTGGAAGAGGTGGGCTTGCGAGCGGTGCAAAGGCAGCCACCTAGACGTGATGTGATTCTGGTTGGACTTGCGAGAAGATGAGTAACGCAATTGGAGGATGCTGGCCTGGTCCACCGTGTCCTCAACAGCTGCGTGGGTACGGATAAGCGCATCTGCATCCGAGTTGTTGAGTGCTCTGCCCCAGCATTTGTGTAGGAACATACCGCAGACCCCTGCCGACGCTAGTGACCCATGATATGCGGGCCAAATCTGAGCTCCTCGTCGAAAAAGTCGACCAACTCGGCGCGAACATAACCACGCCAGCGCACCGCTTCCGACTCATTCCTCACCTCCTCCCCGCCCAATTGCACTAGCAGTCCCCTCTGATTACTTTCTTATACCCTGGGGCCCTTTGTAATCCTGTTGCCTGCGGTCTTTCTCTCTACGCCCCTCGCACACCGCACCGCACATAGCAAGGGAGCTGCTATACGATTAGTACTACGACGGGCCAGATCCCGAGCACATCAGCCAGATTAGCTTCTGTCTGAGTGAAGAGGTACGCATTGAGTGATTGTTGCGAGAGCTTGGGGACACTTGTTCTCTCCAGACGGCTCTTGCTCGTTGCATTGCCTGGATGGCGCCTCCCCCACCATAGCGAAACACCAGACGAGAGCTCACACTATCCAGACGCTCCTTCCCGCCCTTGTCGTTCCTTCCACACCTATAATCTGTCCAAGGTATGCGCCTTCCGCTGCTCCTCACTCACCTCCAAATCCTCTGAACGCCCGACTTACCACTGCCATTGCACAGGACACCGATAATCGCACTCACACAATGTACGGTTCCGGCCAGCAGACGGGCATCTCCACGCCCCGCTCCGCTGCAAACCTGCGCCCGCTCATCCTTTCCCACGGCTCGCTCGAATACACGCTCCTCATCCCCACTGCCCTCCACTTCAATGCACAACAATTGAGGGACACGTTCAAGTCGACGCTTCCTGAGCCAACCGACGAGCTCGCCCTAGACGATGAGCCTTCGTCGGTAGCGGAGCTGGTGGCACGATACCTTGGTTTTGTCGCGAAAGAGGTAGAGGAGGGTGAGGACCCTGACTCTTTCGAGGAGGTGCTCAAGCTCGTTCTTACCGAATTCGAGCGTGCCTTCCTCCGAGGCAACGAGGTGCACGCGCTCGCTGCATCTCTGCCTGGCATCACCGAGAAGAAGCTGGTTACAGTGCGGTCATACTACGCTGCCCGTGCCGCAGTAGAGAGACCTATCAAGCACCATGAATCGGCCCTGTTCCGCGAAGCTTCCGACGAGAATGCCTTCATATATGCTGTTTTGGGTGGCCAAGGTAACATCGAGGAGTACTTTGATGAACTCCGCGAGATCTACACTACCTACCCCTCATTCGTAGAGGACTTTGTTGCTGCCGAGGCGCAACACCTCCTCGTTCTGTCGCGCGACCCGCGCGCTGAGAAACTCTACTCCAAGGGCCTCGATGTTATGCGATGGCTCAACAACCGAGACTCGCAACCCGATACCGACTACCTGGTATCGGCACCCGTCAGTTTGCCCTTGATTGGGTTGACTCAGCTCGCACACTACGTCGTAACCTGCAGAGTCCTCGGTAGCCATCCCGGACATGTACGCAGTCGCTTGTCCGGTGTGACCGGTCACTCCCAGGGTGTTGTCACAGCCGCCGCTATTGCTGAATCTAAGAACTGGGAGACCTTTGAGCGATCTGCCAAGAAAGCCATTGAGATTCTTTTCTGGATCGGTGCGCGAAGTCAGCAAGCCTTCCCTAGGACCTCGCTGGCGCCCACTGTCTTGCAAGACTCAGACGACAATGGCGAGGGCGTGCCAACGCCTATGCTTTCTATCCGTGACCTCTCAAGAAAGGCAGTCCAGGATCACATTGACGCAACCAATGCCCATCTACCCCAAGACCGACACATCGCCATCTCGCTGGTCAACAGCGCGCGTAACTTTGTAGTTACAGGTCCACCAATCTCTCTGTACGGTCTCAACCTCCGCCTGCGCAAGGTCAAGGCTCCGACTGGCCTAGACCAAACCAGGATACCCTTCACCGAGCGCAAAGTGCGCTTTGTCAACCGCTTCCTGCCCATCACTGCGCCCTTCCATAGCCCGTACTTGGTAGATGCGACCAAGCAGCTCGAAGATGATCTCAAGGCGATCAAGATCTCCACCGCGGATCTTGGCATTCCCATGTATGACACACATACAGGCCAAGACATTCGCGAAAACGAGACCGACAACATTGTTCCTCGCCTTGTTAGCATGATCACTGCCGACTCGGTCGAGTGGGAGAAGGCAACCGTATTCCCCAAGGCCACTCACATCCTTGATTTCGGCCCGGGCGGTATCTCCGGTCTTGGCGTACTCACAAACCGTAACAAGGACGGTACTGGTGTTCGTGTCATCCTCGCGGGTGCTATCGATGGCCAAAACGCCGAAGTTGGCTACAAGCCTGAGATCTTTGATCGTGACTTCGACCATGCCGTCAAGTACGCTGTCGACTGGGTCAAGGAGCATGGTCCTCGTCTCGTCAAAACATCAACTGGCCAGACCTATGTCGACACCAAGATGAGCCGCGTGCTCGGTTTGCCCCCGATTATGGTCGCTGGTATGACACCTTGCACTGTGCCATGGGACTTTGTCGCAGCGACAATGAACGCCGGTTACGAGATTGAACTTGCTGGTGGTGGTTACTACAACGAAAAGACTATGACTGCTGCCATCAACAAGGTCGAGAAGGCTATTCCTGCCGGTCGCGGTATCAGCATCAACTTGATCTACATCAACCCGCGTGCCATGGGCTGGCAGATCCCGCTCTTGGCCAAGCTCAGGGCTGAAGGTGTACCGATCGAGGGTCTTACCATTGGTGCCGGTGTGCCATCCATTGAGGTCGCCACTGAGTACATCGAGACCCTAGGCATCAAGCACATTGCCTTCAAGCCGGGTTCTGTCGAGGCTATCCAGCAGACCATCAACATCGCGAAAGCAAACCCTACCTTCCCCGTCTTGCTTCAATGGACAGGTGGTCGTGGTGGTGGTCATCACTCTTTCGAAGACTTCCACCAGCCTATCCTGCAGATGTACGGCCGCCTGCGCAAATGCGAGAACCTGGTTCTTGTCGCAGGTTCCGGATTCGGTAGTGCGGAAGACACATACCCATACCTTACTGGATCATGGTCGACCAAGTTTGGCTACCCACCCATGCCATTCGACGGTTGCTTGTTCGGTAGCCGCGTTATGACCGCCAAGGAGGCAAAGACGTCCAAGATGGCCAAGCAGGCCATCGTTGATGCTCCAGGTCTCGACGACAGTGACTGGGAGAAGACCTACAAGGGCCCCGCTGGAGGTGTCATCACTGTTCGCTCCGAAATGGGTGAGCCAATCCACAAGCTCGCCACCCGTGGTGTCATCTTCTGGCACGAGATGGACCAGAAGATTTTCAGTCTGGACAAGGCCAAGCGCGTCCCCGAACTGAAGAAGATGCGCGAATACATCATCGAAAAGCTGAACAAGGACTTCCAGAAAGTTTGGTTCGGTAGAAACAAGAAGGGAGAGTCAGTCGACCTGGAAGACATGACCTACGCTGAGGTTGTTCAACGCATGGTAGACCTCATGTATGTCAAGCACCAGTCCCGCTGGATCGACCAGAGCTTGAAGCGCTTGACAGGTGACTTCATCCGTCGACTGGAGGAGCGTTTCAGCAGAGCCAGCAGCGAGTCACTGATCCAGAATTACGATGAACTCAACGACCCCTTCCCAATGCTTGAGAAGGTCTTCAAGGCTTACCCCGACTCCGACAAGCAGCTCATCAGCGCCCAAGATGTGCAGCACTTCTTGCTTCTCTGCCAACGCCGCGGACAAAAGCCTGTTCCATTCGTTCCTGTCCTCGACGAGACCTTTGAATTCTTCTTCAAGAAGGATTCACTGTGGCAATCTGAAGACCTTGATGCTGTTGTTGACCAAGACGTCGGCAGGACATGTATTCTTCAAGGACCCATGGCCGTTAAGTACTCTACCAAGGTCGACGAGCCTGTCAAGGAGATCCTGGATGGTGTTCACGAGGGCCACATCAAGTACCTTTTGCGCGACATCTATGGCGATGACGAGTCCAAGGTTCCTGTTATCGAGTACTTTGGTAGCAACCTGCTTGCGCCACCGCAGGGTCTTGACGTCGATGGTCTTACTGTGTCAGAACTTGAGAACAAGATTATCTACCGCCTTTCTGCTACTCCCAACGCCACAATGCCAGAGGTACACTCATGGCTACAACTCCTGGCAGGCACCAGCTACTCGTGGAGACACGCTTTCTTCACTGCGGATATCTTCGTACAGGGTCAGCGTTTCCAGACCAACCCTACTTCCAGGGTTTTCGCCCCCACACCCGGTATGGTCATCGAAATCCAATACCCCAACGAGCCCGCCAAGACTTCGATCATCGTCAAGGAGCTACACCACGGCGGCAAGTTGATCAAGACTGTCGATGTCAGCCTGACAAAGGACAACGAAATCCTACTCAACATCTACGAGGA